ATTCTATGATTCTGTATCACCATACTGTTTCTGTCTGTAAGTAATCCTTTTTCATTTCTTGCTCTTTCATAAAATTCTTTATTTGTTGAGAAGAAAACTCTTCTAATAAGAATATTCTATAACTTACATCTGGGTAGCTTTGCTTAATTTAAAAATTTCTAAATTGATACTATCAATTAAATCTTTAGTGACTTTTGCATTATATTCTAATGAAATTTCAAGTTCATCATCATTCTATGATTCTGTATCACCATACTGTTTCTGTCTGTAAGTAATCCTTTTTCATTTCTTGCTCTTTTATAAAGTTCTTTATTTGATTAGAAGAAAGCCCTTCTAACAAGCATATTCTATAACATACATCTGGCTAACTTTGCATAATCTAGAAATTTAAAAATATAGTAATGAAAACTGACCTGAGAGCTTTCATCCATGTACAATAACTGGCCATTAATATTCAAACACTAAATATATTGAAACTATCATAATTTCGTAGATAGCTCACTTTAAAAATTAAAGTCTCAAAAATGCGTCGTTCATTTTATTCCAAGAATACATTTATTCTTTACAATATGTAAAAGTATCTTGACTTGGCCATTTTTGCTACCTAAAAGTATCCTAATGGTATCTGAAAAGCATTCTGAGAATCTAGAGGCTTCAAGTTTTAAAACGTGAAATATCTCAATATTCTCCTACAGAATTGAAATTTAATCTCAATTTAAAAATGTTTCGACGTAGAGCGTCCGAATATCAGTATCAAAACACTTTTCTCGTTCTCTCAACAGGCATGAAGATGGAGATCTTGACCACGGAGGTGACTGGTGCCGCGTTGCAAGACAATCGCTTGGTTGTCACGCTGGTTCCCCTTCTGGCGACACCAGTGATACTCCTTCTCCTTCTGTTCCTCGTCTTTTTATACTTTGGCTACTCTCACAGGCAGTAAGTACCTGTAATTAATTAACGAGCAACGTAAGAAGCTAATATCCTCTCTTTCAAGTCCTCGTTCTCGTTACAGAGAACATTGTGCGTACGTCGTCTCTTGTATATCTTTCTTTTGTATTCGTCTCTTGCGAGAGATTAGCTCCCCGAGAGAGATCAAATAAAACCCGCGAGATTTATGAAGCTCGGTGAAACTGCGAAGTGAAGCAAGCCGAAACATGCTTCGAAATTCGCCAGAGGGAGAGAGAAAAAAAAAAAAGAAGAAAAGAGGAAACGTGTTTCAATCTCTTTCGGTGTATTTACGGTCGGTAGAGATCGAGCGGATTTGTTTACTGACAGTGAGACTATTCGCGGATAAATTCGTGGAACGATTGCACGTTCGAAAGGTAATTTAGAACGAAGTGACGGCGCTCTTCGCGGAATTAAACGGATGAAATAAATGAAGGGAACGTTGCAAAAGAAGAGAAAGAAACGAGGTTGATTTTCGCCGACGGGGAAAACGAAAGCGAACGGTTCGACGATTATTATTGTTCGCTAATTGGACAAGCGAAGATTTAAATTTGCCACAAATTCGTCTCCTTTGACATTTGTGCTCAACCGACACGTGGATGCTTGATGACGAGGAACGGCAGAATGGCAGAGTTAACATATATATATATAGAGAGAGAGAGAGGGGGGGGGAGGAAGAAAAAAGAAATAAAAATAGGAAAACGAGATTGGCTGCAATTTCCCTTCGCTTGCAATCCCGATAGACCGGATCTCCTCAAAAATTAACTTCCCCCTCGCGGGGATATACTTTTACATACGAGACTCGACGCGAAATATGTTATATCTGAAAACACGCTTTGAACGCGAGTAACGCACGAGTTTGATGCGACGATATGCGATTTTGGCAATTAGTTGGAAACTATCGAATTTCAAACGAAATTAAGTTAATTGCCCGATCTATTATCTGCATCTTTAGGAAATTCTTCGCAGAACTTACGTAACGCTCGTGTTTTTATTTGCACCGCGAGATATTGATTTAACTTGTGTTTTATTAATAAAATACAAATATAAATTACTCGTTTATATATATATATATATTATATATTTTATTTAAATATTATTATATATATTATATACACATTATATATATAGATTAGTAGTTTACTTTATTTAATAAAATTATAAAATTATTACTATATTAATAGTCTATATAACATTCTCACGTTAAATTAATAGCTTATAATCTGTTTTAATAATAAAATATAAACGTAGTATTTTATATTCATATTTTATCATATATATATATATATAAAATACTACGTTTATATTTTATTAATAAAACAGATTATAAGCTATTAATTTAACGTGAGAGTGTTATATAAACTATTAATATAGTAATTTTATAATTTTATTAAATAAAGTAAACTACTAATAAATAGTTTACTAATAAACTAATTTAATAATTGAATATAAAACAACTAAATACCAACTAAATACCAATTTTACTAAATAAAGTAAACTACTAATAAAGAGTTTACTAATAAACTCTAATTTAATAATTGAATATAAAACACACTAAATACCAAGAATACTAAACTAAAATAAAAGATGAAGTAAACTAGCAAGAGGAAAGGAAAGAAAGGAAAGGGAAAAGAGTGAAAGGGAGAGGAAATTAATACGAAGGACCAGTCAAAGTACGAATGCATAGTTACGTTACGCAGTTTCGTTCGATTACGGTCGAACGTCACGAGCGTAAAACTCGAACAACGTCAGAGGCAGATGGGAAGTAAAGAGAAATAAAAGTGAAGAACGTTTTAATCTGAGAAACAGTGACGACGTACAGTAACCTAGTAGTTCCCAGCTGGAAGTTGGTTCCATTTACCATTTACCGTTTTACACCCGGCGTAATTTCTTCGTCGTCTCTCCGTTCCCCGCCGGAAACTTCCGCCATTTAATTAGTTCGACCTGTGCGCCAATGAGTCGCGCTGCTCATTAGCGGAAATTTCGAGAACTTGGGATTTCAAAGGGAGAGCGAGTGAAGGGAAATTTAATAAATTTCGCGAGAAGGAGAATTTAATATCTCTTCTTTTTTCTATATACGTTTTAACCTCTTGCGCTGGAATGACGTGCCACGCACGTCGAGAGTTTTTTTGTCCCAAATTGCAACATTCTCTCAGTTTTCATGTATATTTAAGGGGATATTCTAAGGTGACGAAACGTCTTGTTTAGGTGAATTCGATTTTCATTGGAGAAGCGAAGAACGAAGCTCTTTTATCATTAACCTCTCGATGCACGTCGAGAATTTTTCTTATCCCAAAATATGCAATATATTTCTCAGTTCTAAGTATAATCCGGGCAAAACAAATAATAAATTGATTACTTCTTAATATTTTCGAATCCAGTGATGTCACACGGACGAGTTCAAAGAAAAAAGAAAGCGAACGAATTATTGTATACGGTTTCGGTCGTTCGTTATGGTCCGCAATCAGTTGCCGGCGCAACGTGGACATCTTTCGCTACCACGAAGAGCGACTAAATTCGTACCTATTTATCAAGCTCCTAATTAATTGCTTGTAAACTAACATTCGTATAATCATAATAAGTGAAGTGACTTTTCAAATATTTCTCTTAAAGTGTGACGCGGCTCGTAACAGTCACTTTCACGTAATGGAATGTCACAAAAGATGCACACACTCTACATTGTCTTTGGAGAGTTTTGTTTAATAAGAAAAATGACGAGTCGATGTTAATGAAGCTGTCGATCGACAACTATTAACGATCGAAGAGCCAATTAATAGGCTTCCGGTAGATAAAGCGTCAATTTAGTGACATCGTATCGACGAGGTCGAAAAGAAAGCGACGAATTATTTGTAGTGTACGATTTGGTCACTCGTTATGGTCCGTAATCAGTTGCCAGCGCAACGTGGGTTAAACTGACAATCTTTCGCTACCACGAACGGCGACTGAAGTCGTGCCTAATTATCAAGCTTCCAAGTTCAATATATATTTAATTACTTGTAAACTAACATTCGTATAAACGTAATAATAAGCGAAGTAATTTTTCAAATGTTTCTCTTAAAGTGTGACGCCGCTCGTAACGAAATATGCACACACTCTACATTGTCTTTGGGGAGTTTTGTTTATATAAGAAAAATGACGAGTCGATGTTAATGAAGCTGTCGATCGACAACCATTAACGATCGAAGATCCAATTAATAGGCTTCCGATAGATAAAGTGTCAATTTAGTGACATCGTATCGACGAGGTCGAAAAGAAAGCGACGAATTATTTGTAGTGTACGATTTGGTCACTCTTAAAGCGTGATGCCGCTCGTAACTTAGTCACTTTCACGTAGTGGAATGTCACGAAATACGCAATTTAAGGACGTCCCAAGCGAGTGGAAGTTATTTCTCAAGATGAAATATCTTGTTTTTCCAGTATCCTGTCGGGCTGCTCGGAGATGTTCTCGTCGATAAGGGACGGAGTTGGCGTGGAGAAGACGCAAGTCAGGAAGCCGTTCGGTTTCGCCCGATTCGAGAACATCTCGGAGGGCAACGTGCAAATTGCCAGCGTGGCCGACGTCGACGAACCACGGGCGAACCTCGACGACGGGGAAACAGGAAGCGCGGACCCTCCCGGCGGTAGATTCGAGAACCCTTTGTACAGATCGAAGAGAAGAGGACGCAAGAAGGACGAAGAGGTTTTAAACATGGAGGCTCCTCTCAGTTTGTCCACCCTCAAGGACAACGTGGGCCGTCAAATCGAGGAAGTGGACGTCGACGTCGACGAGTGAACATCTCGCGAGTGAAATTTTCCTTTAAACTGTCCAAACTATCCTTTCTCCTTTTTTTCATCAACCTCGGAAAGAAGGGGTTAAACAGAGCAGAGAATTCATTTCTGTTATCGATGAGGTTTGATAACGGAATCGTAATTAAAACGAGTGAATGAACGCTGACATCGACGAGTGAACTTCTCATAAGTGAAATTTTCCTCCAAACTGTCCTTTCTCCTTTTTCATCAACCCCAAAAAGAATGGTTAAACAGATTCGTTCGTTTCGAGAGTCCGCAGGAAGATCGAGAAAATGGAGAGACATTAATGAGGTTTGATAACAGAATCTTAATTAAAACGAGTGAATGGACGTTCGGTTTCAATTGTTGCAAGCCTATCGGCTCGAGCTACGAAATTTGTTGACACGTGGATCGATAATACGTTTTCAGAAGCAGAATAAAACTAGAGTATCGTCTCAGCTCGTTGAACTTTTTTCTTTTTTTTTTTTTTTTCGTTTATTAAAATGAAAATCGAAGTGTGAAGATTGTGCAACATCACAGCATTTCCTCTTCGCTTAAAGAAAAGGAGACGAAAGTATCTCGAAGATCCAGTATTTTAATCCGAGCGATTAAGTACTGTGTGAAACCTAACAGAAGAGTAAAAACCGATAAGATAAACCCAATCTAAACTGACGTCACGCAAAATCAACACATGTACCATTCCAGCAAGTGCAAAATCGATTTACCGTTCGAGGTGAAGCATTTATTTTACGATTATGCGATGGTTAACACGTATTAAAAGTAGCACGACAAAATTTAGAAAGGAAAATTAACACGAACTAGTCGAGAAAAAAATTAATCTACACGACTGTGTATTCCGTGTGCCTCGGTATGATGTTGTATTTATTGAAATTGGAGAGTTGCATAATTTATCGCAATTTTGATGATTGGACTAATTATGAAAATCGTAACAGCTCGGAATCGAATCTTGATACATTGTATCGCAGTTGCCGATCAAAACTTACTTTTAGCTCATAGAATATTAATAACACATCATAAATAATATTACTTAAAAATATCACTATTTTTTAAATGTATAAATATATTTATTAATATATAAACGTGATTTATTAATATTTAAATAAATTACATTGTCATCATAAAGATTGAAAAAAAAAAATACAAAGAATTTGGAATTTCAGAGTTGTGTAAAAACCGAGGCAGCTCGAGCCGAATCCTACGACATTGTAATAATTAGAACACATGAATATTAATTATAATAATTTCTGAATATTGATGTATATCCCGTGGAGTGTGTTAATGATCTGTATTAAACGACAATAACAATGTTAATAATCTGTAATAAATAATAATGACAACGTAATTGCAATGATAATTTCGAGTGACGATGATAATTTGCAGGCAAACGAGGCAAGTATGTAGGATGCAACAGTGCAAAACTCACAGGCGGAAATGTTAAGTCACTCATGTGTTTATTCCTTCGTCATACAACGTTCAAAGTTAGGCAAACAGCCACGTGCTTCCGCGTCCACGTGGCTTCCGCAGCTTAATCGACGCTACGATAGAAGAGACATTTACTCGCCGAGATAATAGGATAAGTCGTCGGCTAACGCGCGCGAAACACGTACACACGTACGTGTGTATATACCGAGAGGCAGATGTATAGTTAGACACCTCCTTAACAGATAAAATAACACAAATACACACTTAACGACGCTCAACGCAGAGCACGGATGAATTTTAATCGAATGGAATTAATTAATCGACAACGAAATCGAACGAACGAGAGTCACGCGCGCGCGCGCGTGTGTGTGTTTGTGAAATATTATTTACGCAAAATTATCGAAAATGAGAAATTCAGGTGCACGTATGTACATGCGCGCGAAGGTATAAAGTTTCTTGGTAGAAAAACACGAAATTGCACAAATATCCGCAGCCTATTCGTGTAACGATTATTCTCTCTCTCTCTCTTCGAATGTATAGGAGTTTTCTTAATTTAGTGTATACGCTAAATTATCTCTGTTTATATAGAAATATTTTATCTGTATATATATATAATCATTTGTTATAAAGCTTCGTTTATAGAATATATTAAATTCTTTCTCTCACACATACACACGCAAACATACAAACTTTGTCTCGATAAAATTGCGTTTAATTGGCGTTCAATTTTGTACAAGAAATTACTATGCACACGCGCAATTCCCTGCGCGACAGGCTGTTGTATAATTCTTATCTGACAGTAACGAGGCTTCCTCTCGCGAATTTGCTCCCACGCTCGCGTATAATCGCGATTTCCGCGAATCGTTGGACAACGTCGACACAGATTGTTGTTCACAAAGACAGAGATCTTCTTCTAACAGCCGAAATACGAATTTGGCAACAATTCCAGGAGTCAAATCTATCAATCGATTCAATTTAATTTGAGAAATTAAAGAGAATATCTTCCGAAATTCACCGACATTCGAAATTTTCTTTATTAACTTTCACACAAATTCTTTCTATTTGCGAGATCGTTGGGTCCAGTGAACGACCGTGGATGTTCGACGCTGAATGAAAATGATCCAGCGGTAATTTTTCATCGAACATTCTTTGAAATTTCGTCTCGCACGTTTCTTCGTGGCAAATCTCGTTTATTATATTTTCGTTCTGTTTTTAATACGAATGGTCGCCGATCATTCATTCGTCGTTATTTCGTGTTATCAAGAACAAGTCGAGAGACACGAGAGACAGTATCCTCTTGAAGAATCGTACAGACACATCGGCCTTTAAGCCAGCTTCGAGATATGCTCGGTCAGACGCAATTGGCAGACAACGAGTCAGCGTTTCCTCTCTTCCACGCGTCTTTCCGCAAAATTTTTTTCTTTTTAATAACGTACCACAATATAAATTCACGATGACACGACTTTCTACCTGGTAAATCCATTTACTTTCTTCCAAGTATGTATTTAGTGTGCGTTTCATTTTGTTTCATTCTCTGTGAATTTCGACGAAAATATTTTATGTAAATTGTACATACGTGCGTTTCTTCCTTTTTTCTTTTTAATATACTAATAATAATATAATAATACAATTAATAATATATAATAATATGCTATTAATAACATATAATAATATACTATTAATAAATATTAATAATAATATAAATTCACGAAATGATTCTACCTGGTAAATTAACCTACATATTTGCTTCTGATCTCTTCCAAATGTTTAGTATAGTGGTAGCATTTTATTCCGTTTTATCTTTTATAAATTTCGACGAAAATATTTTATCTAAATTGTAAATCGTACATACGTGCGTTTGTTCCTTTTTTCTTTTTAATATACTAATAATAATATAATAATACACTATTAATAATATATAATAATATACTATTAATAATATACTGATAATAATAACGATTCTACCTGGTAAATCCATCTACATATTTGCTTCTGATCTCTTCCAAATATGTAATATAGTGGTAGCATTTTACTCCGTTTTATCTTTTATAAATTTCGACGAAAATATTTTATCTAAATCGTACATACGTGCGTTTCTTCCTTTTTTCTTTTTAATATACTAATAATAATATAATAATATACTATTAATAATATATAATAATATACTATTAATGACATATAATAATATATTATTAATAATATACTAATAATAATATAAATTCACGAAACGATTCTACCTGGTAAATCCATTTACATATTTTGTTTCGATCTCTTCCAAATATTTAGTATAGTAATAATATATAATATATATTATATATAATAATATACTAATAATAATGCAAATTATAATATATATTAATATAATATATTATATTATAACATAATATGTATAATATAATATATTAATATAATTATAATATATTATAATATAAATTAATATATATTATATATAATATGTAATAATAATGCAAATTCACGAAACGATTCTACCTGGTAAATCCACCTACATATTTTCCGCCGATCTCTTCCAAAATATTTAGTATAGTGGTAGCATTTTATCCCGTTTTATCCTCTGCGAATTTCGACGAAAGTCTTTTATCTTTTATCTAAATTGTCTTTTACCTGTATATCGTTGATTAAATAGTAAACGGATCGTGCTTCAAAATTCTCCGTGTCGTTGGTTTAATTAATCAATGATCAAGAGAACTCAACTCCAGTTGGATTTCTAAGCGAGGAGGAAAATTCCCTGACGAACGCGAGATGGCAAAATCGCGCGAGAAGCCTCGAAGAAAACACGTTCGACGAACGAGTCGGAGACGCCTCGTCGCACATGCTTGTCCCTAAAATTTGCTCAACAAAACGAATTCCTCTTCTTCGGCTGTCTAACTCTGTTCGACATCGTGTCAGTTGAAATTTATTCGCTGTCCAAGGTGTCTATTTTCACTAATCGATAGTAAACTATGTTACGAATCAATTTGTTCGTTCTATTTCATAACTTTGTAAATTGTAAACGCGTTCTAAATCTGACGCGTTTGTTATCGTTTCGACGATTTCATCGATTCACCTGCGCGAAAATAGAAGTTCCAGACGCCGTAGCTTTAAATAGCCAAGGAGGAAGAGATTTCTCTTCATTTTAAATATAATCTCTACTCTTGGCAGAAGAGTAAAGATGCTTCTTTGCTACAAATTTTCGTTTCTCTTCTTTCTTTCTTTTTTTTCTAAGATAATAATATTTTTAACTCACACGGCATTCGTCATTGTTAATAAAATTCGACAGAGTTGTATCATTTTCTAGCGTTCGGCAACAACTTCTTCGTTCGACAAGAAACGACATGGCAACACTCGTCCTCTCAGACACGTTCGTCGATGCTTCTTTCAACTGTTTAGTTTAGTTCGCACTAACCAGTTTGGACATTTGTACCCATTGAACGAAGAAAAAATTCGTCGTCTTTGAAATTCGATTCGGCGTGATTCGTTCTCAAGAAAGTTGAAAGGTTAATCTCTTGCTAAAAAGAAAAAGGAAATTAGCAAATTTCTTGGGGAATTTATTTTTGTTTCTCCGACTGCTCGAAATCTGTTGTCTTTCTCTTACAAAAAGAAAAAAAGAAGAAGAAGAAAAAGAAAAGAATATTTCAGCAGAAGGAAGGAACATTAAGAAAAATAAAATTTTCCTTCGTCTCAGTATACTACGAATCACGCCGCACGTGCTTAGTATCATAGTACAGATAAAACCATAAAAAATTACGTCTACGTGATGGGGTGACTTGTTCAATGAACGTTACCCTTATCATACAAATAATTAATACCTGTCGCGTTGACATTTTATCGTGAAAAATCCTATCACGGATCTCTCGCGAAAGTATATTCTCTATTTTAATGTAAACGATACTACATTTTCTCCGTTCGATCCTCACTCCACTGCAAGCTCAATTTATGTTTCTACGTTCGTTTAATGATCCCCATAATTTGTTTCTAGACCTACATGGTTTAGATGTTACTTTGACGAAAATGTATTGTCTGTTTGGAAATCTGTCGACTCTTTGTTTAGCTGCTCGTGCATCGAACACTCATTCTGATCCTAATTGAGAAATTATCGGAGTCATCAAGTTTCGATTGAAAAGACTCGATCGATCTCAAGCATTCCTTTTGTTTAAAAGCATGACGGTACGATTAAACAACATTCTGGCCGAATGAAACAACGTTCCCTTGTATTTTACAATACATTTCGTTTCCCTTGTATACAATATACAAATCTGCGTCTTGCGCAAATCGACGATCCTAATCTACGAACGAGTCCCTAAACATACGTATATATATTAATTTAACAAACTTCCTCGGCAGGAAATAGGCGAATTTCTCGTTCTCGATAAAATATCTCTCGCTAATTATAACTACTGTGTGTTACCAGTGACGCACTATATATTTAGTTAACACGACTTTGAACGCTCATTTCGTTTCAATATTCGTACGCCCTCTCAACTCGTCCTTTGTCTCCTTTCGTTTCACTTTCCAACTCTTTCGCATCGTTCGGACGAACATGGAGGAATCATCATCGCTTTCAAGTGAACATAAACGTCAATTACGGGTTTACGAAAATGAAGCACACGCGCTCTTTAAATACTTTAACAGTTGACGCGGATCTGTCGCTAAACATCTTGTTAGAAGCTTTGTAGCTCTTTGTCGAACAGTGTCCAAGCAAAATTTCGTTTTATTTCTGTTGGAAAAGGGTTGGAGAGTTAAAAATCATCGACAAGTACAGTTGAAAGTCTCGCTTCTGTTCTAATTTGGAATAACAAAGAAATTTGGCTTGGACAGAGCCGACGCCCTCTGTTCAAATTGTCAACAATTTTCGCAAGCGTCCTCCTCGACAAGATGAAGACAAAAGAAAGAGAAAAAGAAAGGAGAATCCTCGCTCTTTGTATGATAAATTCAAATACAGTTCCAACGCTTGATCCTTTGTGTGTATCTTGACTTCAGTAATCCGAATTTCTTCAACTATTCCTCGCGTTTCTCTCTTTCTTTCTCTCTCTCTCTCTTCTTTTTGTGAAAACAAGAGAAGAAAATTCGCTCCGAGTTCTTCGTCGATGAAAGAAGGATGGAAATTTGGAAATCAAGGCACTGCCGGCTGAATTTCACCCTCCGCCGATCCCCAAATCCGCAGGGAAACCAGGAAGACATGTTTTCACTGATCATCGGGTCAACTGACGCTCAGGGGAAGACTTTTGCTCAGGAATGTAGAACAGGGAAGATTGCACTGTCCCCTCGGGCGATCGTCGGAAATTTGGAAATTGGCGACGATCAATTCTCTTCATCGACGACAATGCAGTTTTCGTTTTCTCTCTTCTCTATTCCCCTCGCGGTCGAAGAAAACTGCAAATTGCCAGGAGGATCGAAGGAAAGTGCGCCAAGGGTAAGACAAGGGGCAGCCTTCTGATTCGACGGATCAGGAACATGCTCGATAACATAGTCTTGCTCATAGTGTTTGCAAGCCCTCGAGGACGTCTACGAGCCTTGCAGTTGAAGGAGAGCCTGCAGACGCTGAAGTTCCTTCAGTAGTTCGCGATTCGTGTCCTCCAAGGACGTTAACCGGTCCCTGTACGAGGAATTCTCGTTCGTGAGCATCGTCACGCGTCTCTCCAGACCGTCCATGTACTCCTTTTTCTTCCGTCGGGACTCCTGCGCCGATATCTGAAACACCACGGCAACCGTTTTCATCATGTTCGTCGCCGATCGCGCTCCTCCAATCGTTACTCGTCGCGCGTGCCCGATCGAGCGCGACGTTATCAATGCGTGCCGATTATCCGTGTGTGAAAATTCGCGATAAGCTCGCCCGATTCATCATCTTACTTCGTTTCACTTTACTTTTCATCGTCGTACTTTATTTCACTTTCGTTGTTGGACTCTCTCGGCGTCTGGTAACTGAGGTAACCGACGATCCTCTCGGCAATGAGTAAATTTGCGGATATCGCAATGATATGTCGTGAAGTGTGTGCGCGATGAGTAAATATATATATACTCGTACAAACGATGTTGAGTTGTTAATGGAAACATTGAGAAAAATGTAAACTAAATAAACGTAACGTAAAATGCTAGAAATTTTATGTTGCGCAGGAAATTTGAAAGCCAAAGAAATATGTATTAAATAATAATAATAGTTCCAACAATTAGAAGCAGTAAAATTATTTGAAAATAGAGTAAATAATAATAATAATAGTTACAGCAATTAGAAGCAGTAAAATTATTTAAAAATAGAGTAAATAATAATAATAATAATAATAGTAGTTCCAACAATTAGAAGCAGTGAATATATTTAAAAATGGAGTAAATAATAATAATCATAACGATTAAATGGATAATAATAATGACAATAATGATTAATAAAGTTAGAAATAATAATAATAGTTACAACAATTACAAGCAGTTGAAATGATTAAAAAAAATGGAATAAATAATAATAATAATAATTGACAAAGTTACAAATAATAATAATAGTTCCAACAATTACAAGCAATTGAAATTGTTTAAAAATGGAGTAAATAATAATAATCACAACGATTAAATGGAACATACAGATAATAATAACGACAATAATGATTAATAAAGTTACAAATGATAATAATAGTTCCAACAATTACAAGCAATTGAAATTGTTTAAAAATGGAGTAAATAATAATAATCACAACGATTAAATGGAACATACAGATAATAATAACGACAATAATGATTAATAAAGTTACAAATGATAATAATAGTTCCAACAATTACAAGCAATTGAAATTGTTTAAAAATGGAGTAAATAATAATAATCACAACGATTAAATGGAACATACAGATAATAATAACGACAACAATGATTAATAAAGTTACAAATGATAATAACAGTTCCAACAATTACAAGCAGTTGAAATTACTTTAAGAATGGATGCTCGTGTGTGTTAAGTCAAGATGATTGACGAGAAGAGAAAGAAAAGGAAATGCTCAAAAAATGAATAGCGACAACGTGTTCGTTTTTGCGTGGTTATCAGATACCAGTCAGATTTGACGAGATGTTTCGGAGAAATGTAAATAATTGTGTCTTTGCACGTGTTGGAAAACAATTGAAAAATTTCATACTACGGCGGTAATGGATCATTTCGAGGAGTATGAACACAGTGTGACAATATCTGTGATAAATAATTTTTTTTTCACAAACTGAGTCTAATACCTACCTTATTCTTGATTTTCCTACGGACTTTCTTGAGGGACTTCTCTTCCTGTTTCGTCAGAGGCAATTTCGTCGGCACTGGATACCCCTCCGCGATCAATGTCCGCTTTTCCTCTTCCGTCAACATTAACACGCCCGTCGACCCCTTCTGTAAAACCAGTTCAACGCAACGTCACAATCCACGTCGACCCTCCCCACTGTTTCTAATAACTTGAACTTTACAATTTATATACAGTGTGTTTCGTAACCACTTCGGAAGCTGATTGTACGCCTAAGAATAATGAAAAAAAGTCATATAAATATATGTCCTATCTGTCTTCGTTCATGAGATATAATTTTATAAACAGAGCAAACTCTAGTAAACGAGTTTTACCAGGGATGGTATATTCAATTTTCATAATAATCATAATTGTAATAAAGACCCACATGTTATTGTCTAAGTATAGTCTAA